AGCAGCAACAAAAAGGTTAAATGCAGATTCACTTTAACTTAACCGTTGATGTCATTGTAAGCCACAGGGACGTTAAAGTATCCTCACCTTGAAAAACAACCCATCTAGATTAAAATAGAAATGAAAAAGGTAAAATATTTGTGTAAATTATATTTAGGAATACCATTTTTTTCCATTTTGTTTAACCGCATTCCCGACGCCCTATACCAGATGTATTGCTACAAGGTGGCACGGGTGCACAAAATCACGTATATACACACACAAGTGATTTTGCATTTCCAGGTAGGTAAATAAAACAGTTCTCCCTGTCAGCTCCTGCACACTGCTTTGCAGCTATAAAATCGCTGAATGCCACCATTACTAGTAAAAATTAAAAAAACAAAAAACACCAGTATATATAACGCCATTTGTAAACGCTATAACTTTCACGTCAACCAATTTATACGCATTTGTTTTTTTGTTTTTTGTTTTTTTTAGCAAAGACATGTAGCAGAATACATTTTGGCCTAAAATTATGACAAAATTAGATTTTTTCCTGAACGTGTTTAAAAAGTAAAAAAAATTTTGTTTTTTTTCCACAATTTTCTTTTTTTTTTTTATAGTGCAAACAATAAAAAATGCACAGGCGATCAAATACCACTGAAAGAAAAAGGACATAAATTTGATTTTCATGCAGCGTTAAATGACCACGCAATTGTCAGTTAAAGTAACGCAGCAGCGGAACGCAAAAAGTGGCCTGGTCAGGACGGGGGGGTATATCTTCTGGAGAAGAAGTGGTTAATAAGAGATCACAAACTCTGATCTCAGTTGCATAAGGGTCTTGGAAAGGTGGGGGTGGAGAGGCAGCAGTATGCAGATCTTCCCAGTGAATGGCTGTGCAGCACATGATCACAATGTCAGCAAATCGGTTATTCAATATGATTCATAACAGCTTTGCTTCCCTTCCTAGTGCACTGTGGGCCAATGGCTCTTGTTGCTAACTCCGCCAATGAGGAGGGAGAGTCCCTGGAGCGATGAGGCTAGATCGCGATGGGGTTCAGGTAAGCAGGGGTGTGGAAATTTTTGAAAAAAATGACTTGTCCAGGGACTAAATCTGTACCAAAATCTACTTGTCCAGAGAAAATTAAATAAGTTTTAACCAAAAAAGTAATTAAATCGGAGGTGATATTAGGAATGTCTGGGGTATTTAAAAACAAAAAGGGGCTTTATGACAACTTAAAAGTTTAATATTTTTGACAATTGAGCGGTTTATCTCCTCCTCCCTGTCGGTTTCCAGCTCCACACCCGGGGACTGGCAGGGAGGAGAGAGACCTTGCAGTGTAATGAGCACCGATTGGCTGCTCCTCAGGAAAGGGTGAGTCAAGGCTTATCTGTTATCCCTTTTGCTGCCAGAGCCGTTTTTGCACAAGTATAAAAAAATCATTTTAGGCCTGAAGATTACATAAATCCCCCAAACATTATATATTTTCTGAAAGCAGATACCCTAGAGAATAAAATAGCGGTAGTTCCAATTTCTTAATGTCACATGATATTACCGCAGAATTTCAGTAAAAAATACAAGTTAATTTTAGGGCACAGGAAAAAAAAAAAAAAAAAAAGCAATAAAGTTACCCTATTTTTTTGTAAAATATAAAAGATGAGGTTGCACCGGGTAAATGGATATCAAAACATGTCAAACCTTAAAATTTGTGCGAGCTCATGAAATGGCGACGAACTTCAGTACCCTATATTTTCCTTAGGTTGACACTTTTAAAGCTCCTTATAGGTTATCAGTTTAGCGTTACGGAGGTCTGGTGCTAGAATTATTGCTATCATTATGGCATGAGCAGCGATATGTGACAGGTGTATAGCAATTGACTTCTTCATGCGTAAGCGCCCCAGTGTGTGCTTGTACGTTTGTACGTGCGTATATGTGGGGGTGGGGATGGCATGCGCTTGGGTGTAACTCATTTTTTTCAATAAAAAAAAAAAAAAAAACCTACCTGCCCGACGCCTGGAACTACATGTCCCGGGGATTGGGCGATAGGAATCGAACATCCCAGGGTAAGTATTACGGAAGGCTGCTGCAAACAGAAGGTTTTTTACCTTCACGTGTGCCGCATTTCACACATTTTTTCTGGGTCTTTGAATTACCACCTGGCAAGTACCCATAGGCCCTCTTGATCATAGAATGCATAAAAAGGTAAAGAAACCTTGAGCCTTTACAACCACTTTGGGGGAGAGTGCGTGTGTCAGGGACCTTAGTAAGCTCTTTGAGGGTTAGGGACTGATGCGAGAGAGAAATAAAATATATATATATATATATATATATATATATATATATATATATATATATATATATATATATATATATATATACATACATACATACACACACACTTAAAATTGACGGCGCTATACAAGTACCTGTAATACATGAATTAAAAAAAAACACACATACCTGCCGAATCAGAATGTACTACATGCAGACTGACAAATCAGCGATCAGGTTTCCATAGAAAAGTCCTCTTCAGCTTGGTGCACGCAGCCTGTAACTGATTTCTGTCTCACAGTCAACAATTACAGCCTGCAGGGCACATATGCCAAGCTAAAGAACACTCATAAACTTATCCTTAAACATGAACCTTCAGTTTAAATCAGCTAAACACATTCCAAGTGCACGACAACAAATTCATTTTCTTTAATAAAAAAAAAAAAAAAAAAAAAAAAAAAAAAAAAAGGGGGGGGGGGGGGGGGAATAAGTAGGAATCCTGTCCCCTGCCAGCATACTGCACAAAAGGTCCCTTCCTCGTTGGTAGCCAGATGTCTCTTGCTGAATCAGAATCATACCCGTCACCAAAGCTTATGCTTCATGCTGATTGGAGAGCTCTACCTGTGTCAGTTGTTCAGGTGGACCTAATTGAAAGGTCCATGCATTCCTATTGTAGCCAGGTGGCTGATTGCCCTCCACAGCTGATCTACCTGCACCCCCCCCAATCAGCAGCGTGGAGTTGAACCATGAGACGACTATGTATGTGGACTCTCTTCCCCCTCTCTCCTAGGAAGAGCTATCTTGTTTATTTTTAGTTTTAGGCAGGCCATAGATGGGTCGAAAAATCAGCCGAAAATTTGTCCGAAAGAATAATCGGCCGATTTTCAGATCGTTAATGGGTGAATTTGTCAGCAGTTTTTTGTGATTTTGACACTTTTTTAAATCGGTTATGTTGGAAAAAAAAACGGCCGATTTTGTTGATCAGCCGATTTTCACAGCAATGATGGACAAATCGGCCGATCTTTTTACCGATTAAACAAAATGCGCATGAGCCGTGACCTGCAAGAAGAAGGAAAAGAAAAAGGATGAAGAACATCTGTATCTATTTGTATTTATTTTGGATACAGATGTTTCTATTCGGATACAAATAGATACAATGTTGCAACCGCAATACTTTTAAATGTCAAAAATAATAGTGGAGTGTCCCTGCAGAGAGCTCCGCTATTATATTTGACAGTTAAAAGTATAGCGGTTGCAACATTGTATCCGAATAGAAACATCTGTATCCGAAATGGATACAAATAGATACAATGTTGCAACCGCTATACTTTTAACTGTCAAATATAATAGCGGAGCTCTCTGCAGGGACACCACTATTATATTTGCCGGCCGTAGATGGGACGAAAATCAGCCGATTTTTTTTTTTTACCAATGGTGGTAACGTCGGCCAATTAAACAACCGATTTTTCGTTTTTAAAAAAAAAAAAAAAAAAAAAAAAGGGCCTGTTTTCGCCCCGTCTATGGCCTGCTTCAACCTTTTGATTCCAGGTCAGTGGTACAAAAATCTAATTTTTTGCCAATTTGGGACAGTTATTATTCTAACAAGCCTGCATCATAATTTACCAGTGTGTGCGCTCATTTATGTCAAACTGTCATTTATTCTAACATGTATCAATAGGTTAAGAATAATTGCTATTAAGTGGGTGTATGCAACTACTGCCATTACCCCCAGCCAGGTTAAAGGCATTTTTCTCTTGTGTATTTTTTTTTTTTTTCATACTTGCAGTGATTTTTACTCAACCAGGTGTGTCAGATGGGCTGAAGTTGTTCTTGGAGTTGAGGCGCAGAACAGAAAACCCAAAGTTACCAAGCGGCTCCTTTGGGAGTGGCATTACACTATGGACAGGACCTGTGTCCATTTACACCCGCCTACCTCTGGGCTTGATCTAGTCTGCTAAAGAGAAGAAAAAAAAAAAAAAAAACCACACAGAAGGGGAAAGGGATCTGTCATCTTCTGTTTAGCTGGATCGGATGGCAGTTGAGTGTAAACAGACAGCAGTGTCTGTTTACACCCATTTCCTAGAGCAAAGCAGGCTCTGTGTCCACTCTGGAGAAACTGAGGGGACAGGGATGAGTCATCCACCCAATCTACTCCAATCAGCAGAGGATCTGTGAGCGGATCCCCTCCTGATTAGAAAGGAATCTGCCTCCTGTGAAGGGGGCTTTACTCAGCAAGAAGTATGTTGGCACTCCATTAAGTAACCACTGCATCCTTCCAGAGAACAGGGGTCTCACTATGCAGCAGGCTGGCAGTGGACAGGCTTTGCTTCTCAGGCTGTGGCTGCTTTCTAAAGAAAGCCAACTGTAAGACTTTGCACACTTGTTGGAATGCACTTCGGTGATCTATACTGAACGTTGAGTTGGGTTTTAACAGATTGCTGTAGGTGACAATGTTCAGGTTACAGTTTGCTGCAAGAGAAAACATCCACACAGTAAAGTCAGTGACAAGTGCACACATGGTGAGAACAGCCATACCCCACCCTCCACTGAGCTTCCCATAGCAAGACACAGACCTACCAGTGCAGGCAGGACTAGGCCACCTTCCACCACACTGTACGAGTGCCCACAAGTACGCCTTAGAGCCCCATAGCCTAAGTACCCGCTCCCCAGCCGAATACTCCCTCCGTCATCTCCCCCACCCCATGACATCCAGCAATAGACCTCCCAACCCCACACACACCAAGCGTACCATCTCTGCTCCGGCCCACATAGTGCCTTGTGCCCCTGGCACCCCGCAGCCCTCTCTTCCTGCCATACACAGGAGTACATACCATCTTCAACCACCTCCTCCTCCTCTTTAGGGCTCCTCCGGCCTCACCGGCTCACACAAACTCGCCGCGAGATCGTCCCCCAACCAAACCGCCAGTCATTGGACGCTGTTCGCACGCTCGGCCCCAAAAAGTAATCTCCTATTGGCTTTCTTTCTTATCTGTCAGCGATTCGGCCCTCTAACTGGCTCCCTCTGTCCTCCCCCTTCGTGACGTAGAATTAAACAGGGTAGGGTGCACAGGAAAAGGCGTCCGCTTTCGCCGCTCGAATCGCTGTTGGTTGGCAAACGCAGCTCATCAGCGCAAGGTTTCCTGGGACATGTAGTCTTTGGGAGGAGGCAGACACGTGATGAATCCCGCACAGGTCAATAAGGAAGGCGAGAGTGCGCGTCTCTGAAATGGAAGGACTGATTACTTATTGGAGTCAATCTAAAGGCCTCATGCACACGGGCCTATGAAAATCAGCAGCGTTTGCCAGACTGTGATACTCCTAATCCACTTGAGGGTAAACGCAGGGTACTGGCCAGAATATTAACCACTTGCCCTCCAGAGGATTTACCTCCCTTCCTGACCAGGACATTGTTTGCAATACGGTGCTGAGTTACTTTCTTTTTTGCGCTATAAAAACAAAACCCGACCATTTTGGGAAAAAATGTTTTTGACTTTTTGCTATTAAACATGTCCAGTAAAAAAATTTTAAAAATCAAATTTCGTCATAAATTTAGGCCAAAATGTATTCTGCTACGTCTTTGTTAAAAAAAATCCCAATACGTGTAAATTAATTGGTTTATGTGAAAGTTATAGTGTTTACAAATGGTGGTATATACTGGGATTTTTATTTTTTTTAATACTAGTAATGGCAATCAGAGACTTATAGTAGGACTGTGGCGGCCATTCTGACACTGGGGAGGAACTGACTAACTGTCACTGACATCCCAATGACGCTAATACAGTGATCAGTGATAGTGGGACTGCAACTAACTGCCAATGACGCTAATACAGTCATAGTGGGACTGCAATGGCCATTCTGACACTGGGGAGGAGCTGACTAACTGTCACTGACATCCCAATGACGATAATACAGTGATAGTGGGACTGCAACTAACTGCCAATGACGCTAATACAGTGATAGTGGGACTGCAATGGCCATTCTGACACTGGGGGGAGCTGACTAACTGTCACTGACATCCCAATGACGCTAATACAGTGATCAGTGATAGTGGGACTGCAACTAACTGCCAATGACGCTAATACAGTCATAGTGGGACTGCAATGGCCATTCTGACACTGGGGAGGAGCTGACTAACTGTCACTGACATCCCAATGACGATAATACAGTGATCGTGGGACTGCAACTAACTGCCAATGACGCTAATACAGTGATAGTGGGACTGCAACGGCCATTCTGACACTGGGGAGGAACTGACTAACTGTCACTGACATCCCAATGACGATAATACAGTGATCAGTGATAGTGGGACTGCAACTAACTGCCAATGATGCTAATACAGTGATAGTGGGACTGCAACGGCCATTCTGACACTGGGGAGGAACTGACTAACTGTCACTGACATCCCAATGACGATAATACAGTGATCAGTGATAGTGGGACTGCAACTAACTGCCAATGACGCTAATACAGTGATAGTGGAACTGCAACGGCCATTCTGACACTGGGGGGAGCTGACTAACTGTCACTGACATCCCAATGACGCTAATACAGTGATCAGTGATAGTGGGACTGCAACTAACTGCCAATGACGCTAATACAGTGATATTGGGACTGCAACGGCCATTCTGACACTGGGGGGGAGCTGACTGTCACTGACATCCCAATGACGCTAATACAGTGATCAGTGATAGTGGGACTGCGGCGGGCATTCTGACACTGGGGGGAGCTGACTAACTGCCAATGACACTAATACAGTGATAGTGGGACTGCAACCATTCTGACACTGGGGGGAGCTGACTAACTGCCAATGACGCTAACACAGTGATAGTGGGACTGCAACGACCATTCTGACACTGGGGGGGAGCTGACTGTCACTGACATCCCAATGACGCTAATACAGTGATCAGTGATAGTGGGACTGCGGCGGGCATTCTGACACTGGGGGGAGCTGACTAACTGCCAATGACACTAATACAGTGATAGTGGGACTGCAACGACCATTCTGACACTGGGGGGGAGCTGACTAACTGCCACTGACATCCCAATGACGCTAATACAGTGATCAGTGATAGTAGGACTGCTGCGGGCATTCTGACACTGGGGGGAGCTGACTGCCAATGATGCTAATACAGTGATAGTGGGACTGCAACAACCATTCTGACACTGGGGGGGAGCTGACTAACTGTCACTGACATCCCAATGACGCTAATACAGTGATCAGTGATAGTGGGACTGCAACGGGCATTCTGACACTGGGGGGAGCTGACTAACTGCCACTGACATCCCAATGACTCTAATACAGTGACCAGTGCTAATAAAAAGCACTGACGCTGTACTAATGACACTAGGCAGGAAGGGGTTAACATCTGGGGCGAACAATGGGTTAACTGTGCTGTGTGTGTTTTACGTTATGTGCTGTGTGTGTTTTACCTGGGAAACATGCTGCTTTGTATTGCCCTGCTGTGCAGAGCAATACAAAGCAGCCTGTTTTTGTTGACAGGAGAGATCTGTGTTGTTTGCATACAGACCTCTTCCCTTTCACTGTTCCTCGATGATCACCGGGTGCCAGTGGGAAATCTCTGGCTGGGATCGACACCTGTAGCCGCCTAGGCCAGCCTGCGCCCCTACCTGGAAATGTAGAATCACGTATATATACGTGATTTTGCACAGCCCTTCCACCTTGTAGCAGTAGTTCTGCTATAGGGCAGCGGGAAGCAGTTGTTTTTTCAGGCCGTTGGAATGCATTTACACGCGTATCTGCGTTTTTTTTTTCTGCTCAAAAGTGCCTCTCAGAACACACCATTGGTATTTTTTTCTGTCTGTAAGTAGTCCTCTGCAATATGCCTATAAGCACCCATGTGTCCATAGACACTCACCCTAGGTTCACATGTAAGCGTTTTCCACAGCGTTTTGAAGAAATGCAGTACAGTCCATTTAACATGATTTCCTAAGGGACACGTTCACATCACGTCACCCGCTGCGTTTTTTGGAAAAGGTCAGGGACTTTTTTAAATGCAAAAAGTTGCGTTTTTTGGTTCTATAAACTTCAATGGAAATGCTGCAGAAGAGCATGTAGTGTGTTTTTGCTGTGTTTTGCGTTTTAAATCTGCCTAGCAACAAGAAGAAAAAATGCAACTAAAATGCATGTGCAACAACGCAAAATGGACCACAAAAAGCATTGTAGAAATGGATCAAAAGCAAACTGCACAGGTGTGAACCCAGCCTTAACCCCAGTTCACACTGGTGCAGATTACCATGCAACTTGCAACACATAGGGATTTATTTACTAAAAGCTGGTTTAGCCCTGGTTCACACTGATGTGGTGCGGAATTCGCTGCGTTTTTAGTGCAAATTCCGCACCACATCAAAAATCGCACCCTATCCATGCGATCCGATGCAGGTGTGTATGTTAATTTAACAACATGCCAAAATCAGTCCGCAAAACGCAGTGCAGAATCACATCGCATAGGTGTATATACCTATGTGATCCGATTCTAGTGCGGACCAAAAAAGGGTCCTGCATGTTTTTGGTGCAGTGCGAATAGAGCCATACAAAATGTATGGCTGCAATCGCACCACATACAAAATGACACATGATTTGCACAGGAATGCAGTGTGGTTCCTGTTCGAATCACATGGGATTACCCGCACTGCTGCAGTGTGAACATGAGCTCACTCAGAATCTCGTGCACTTCTGCATAGAAACTAAACTGCTTTCAGGTTTTATTGCTAAAGCTTAATTGAACAAGCTGAGGTTAGAAGCTGATTGGTTATCATGCACAGCTGCACCAGATTTTGAGCGCACCAGCTTTGGTAGATAAACCCCATAAAGTCACATGACAAGTCAAAACACATTCATTTCAGCAGGTGCTCTTTTAACCAATGTGACTCAAGTCACAGCGGCAAAAGAAAAGTTACTGCGCTACTTTTCTGCAACTTGAGTACCATAGACTGCAATGTTAAATTACAAAAGTCACAAGGAAATTGCAAGCAAGTCACATGACTTGGGGGTTGTAGCAGTGTGAACCAAGCCGAATGCCTCATACATGAAAATATGCTGCCAGAAGCTGGCAGAAAAATGCCTCTAATGCTTCGATTTTGTGTGCGTTTATGCGCATATGTGTGTAAACTGGTTCTGTTGTCTGGAATATGAATTTTTTCTAGCCACTAGAATACATGGCCACACTCTTGTACATGTTTACGCATGTATAGGTGTAATGCAGGCCATAGATGGGGAGAAAACCGGCCGATTTTTCCTTAAAAAAATGGAAAAATCGGTCATTCAAGCGGCCGACGTTACCAGGAACGGTAAAAAAAATCGGCCGATTTTCATCCCGTCTACAGCCGGCAAAAAGTGTCCCTGCAGAGAGCTCCGCTATTTCTTTGACAGTTCCTTGACATTTATTGCAGTTGCAACAACTATCTATTGTATCTATTTGTATCCGTTTAGGATACAGATGTTTTTATTCGGAAACAAATAGATACATTGTTGCAAACGCTATAAATGTCAAGGAACTGTCAAAGAAATAGCGGAGCTCTCTGCAGGGACACTTTTTGCCGGACTGGAATTCTTCTTCTTCTTCATCCTCTTCTTCTTCTTCATCTTCATCTTCTTCATCCTCTTCTTCTTCATCCTCTTCTTCTTCATCCTCTTCTTCTTCATCCTCTTCTTCTTCATCCTCTTCTTCATCCTCCTCCTCTTCTTCTTCTTCATCCTCTTCTTCTTCTTCATCCTCTTCTTCCACTTCTTCATCCTCTTCTTCCTCTGCTTCTTCATCCTCTTCTTCATCTTCCTCTTCATCCTCTTCTTCATCC